TAATTTTAGGTTTGTACTTCCTGTGTCTGGTTGTTTCCTGGTCCAAGATGATTCCCCATAATTTGCATTAACAAGTAACGCGGTTCACGGGGCAACAGTGAGGCACGTGAACGTAACAAATACACTAAATCTGTACATTTTATTCATCCACGTGATGATATAACAGTGCAGAAGCAAACCGAGGGAACATTTCTCTTTAGTCATCACAGCTGACTAAACCTTCCTAACACTGAAAAGCACAGCTGGTGTCAACAAATGTCACCTCGCTAATGGTTTAAAACTATAAGCCGGCACAGAAAACAATAATTACCCACATAAGCTATTACTCCAAACCTAAAGGCGCGTGCATTTTCTTGTGCGGCCCTCAATCACATACCTAAAATGTCACATAGTTTTATAACAACCTTGTGACGTATTAGACCTGTTAAATCACACAGTTCTGCGCAAAATGGATGAATTTAGATTAAATACAGCAAACGCTAAATTATATATTTAATAGTTTCTTTGTAAGGGAAGACATAAAAAGCAAAAACCGTGTTGTTTAGGGTTTTTTTGACTGTGTCGGGTTTTTGCATAAGGTAGGAAATGTCTTTGGGTTTACCCACCTTATGATCGGCAGGTTTAGCTTCATGGCTAATCACAGTCATCATCAAAACCCCAAGATGTGTAAATCGGCTCATTTATAGACCAATTTACTCCTAAAAATATGTTTTATTTTGTCTATTGACGGCGTTTTTGATTTAGAAAGTGATGAAGACGAACACATTTCACTCTCCTGTCCCAATAAAATCTGCCTTTATCTGATATTCAAATTTCTATTCTTGAAATCTATGCAATAAAACTGTATATTTAGATACACCAATAGAGACGTTAGTGTCTTTTGCATATGCCGCTTTTCAATTTTTCTGTGCTCTCTGTGTTTCCAGGACCAGAAAACTGACTAGTTTTATGTAATAATACAAAATGTTTACACCTTTTGCCCCGTAGTGTCTCTCCTTAGATGAATTTAGTTGAAAATGATGATGTAATTGTACTTGCTGGTTAATATTTGCTGTCCTCTCAGCCGGTTTTACTCTTTGCTGTTGCCTTCTTGTGTAATCCGCTGCATGAGGGGCACATGTAGGTGTAATAGCTTGGAAAAACTGGCACTGAAACAACTTAAAAAGTTAAATGGAAATCATGCTCATCTCCATCAACACCATCATATTTCCATGGCAACCGTATCCTGTATCCTGTCAGAGTCATGTTAGAGGCATAAAATCAGCCTTCACAGATAATTATCTGGCTTGCAGTAGGAGTTCATGTGTTTCCTGGGTGCAGCACAATGACCTTTGGTGGAGATGAATCACTCGCGCTAGCATTGCTTTTCTGTTTTCTTCGTGTAAAGCCTGCGAAAACAGACTCGGGTTAAAGCGGTGACCTCCTTCCACGTTCGGTATCACACTTGCACATCACTGCTGCACAGAGAGAGGAGGAAGGACGAACAAGCACATCTGGAAGCAGGGTTGTGGGGAGGGGGGGAAGTGAGTGAATAGGGAAGACGGGCTTGCATTAAGCAAAGGGCAGGCCAGACAAGTTTAAGCTCACACTCTTATGAAAGATCTGTCAGATTCAACGCAACCGTGTGACGGGGGAAATCACTGGAGACAGCACGCTGTGATTTCGAGCGCAAATCTGCGCGTAGCCACAGGGTGGGGTTGACAATGGCACAGCTGTTTTTAAGAGCGCAGCACAACAGGCCGTCATACTGACATCGAGACAGACAGACAGTGGTGGAGGTGAGGCCGCGAGTCCGGCTCACTGGGCTGCTAACCACGAGGCTTACCGATGGTAGCAGAGTGTTTGGGGCTGGAAGCAGACCCCTGCTGGTTAAAATGATGGTGCAAGTTCCCAGCTGCAAAGAGAGCAGAGCCGACAAACTGATGGGACAGCCACTCGAGAGACACGGGAGGCATGTCGAGTAAGCATTTGTGTCAGTAAAGAGACAGAGAGAGACAGTGGGTGAGACAGGACAGCGAGAGGGGAGGACAGAAAAGAGACAGACTCAGTCCCTCCAGGAATCAGCTGACTTTTGCATTTCTTATTTAAATTAAAGGTTGTTGCAATTAACTGAATCGAACTGGCAACCCACAGATTAGATCTTTTATGCAAGACTGACAAAAGTGAGGTCGTTTGGTTTTTACTTTGCATTGTGAAGCAGCACGCAAATATCCTTAAACGGTCATCTCAGGTATAGAAGCCACACCCACCTGCAAGTTAGAGGTGGGAATCACCATACATCCCACGATACGATATTATCACAATACTTAACGCACGATACGATATTAT